AAGAGTAGGTATGTTAAAAGTAAAAACAACTTTTAACTTTTTAAAAACTAAGCAAATAAAAAATAAACATAAGTTCTTATTGTAACATATTTTTGGGGTATGCTGTATAGTTGAAAATAATTTCAGGGGATGCACTAGTTTGGTTTTTATCAATTTTTTATATAAATTTCTTAAAATTTTTAAAACTAAATCTGAATAATGAACTTTACCAACTTGCTGGGCCACCTGTATATCTAGGATCAATTTACAAGAAACAGTTTTCTCATTAAAGCCAATAAATCGACCCCTAAAAGGGTAAATAGTTTAAAAAATTCTGTTGCAGAGCAGTATTAAACTTTTTTAATATTATCAGTTTTTCGTATTCTCTTTTAATTTTATGTTTTAAATTGAAGATTTTGGAGTTGAAAAATAATCAATACAAATTGGGCAAGCATTTCCATCACTTTTTAATTTTCAAAACAGTACAAATATTATTATCTTAAATTCCAATGTTTCAAGATATTTTTTTACCAGTAGGTATGTAAGAAAATAAATGTAAATATGTATTTTTAACTTTCGGTTACTTCGTCACCCTCTTCGTATGGGAATTTTTAACAAATATATGATAAACAATAAAGAAGACAAAAATAAATTCGGTTACAAACGGAAGTCAATTATATATTAAACGACAATACTCCTCGTTTTAATATTGCACTAAAAAACTGCATTGTTAATTGATTTTATAAACAAATTGTGAATTTATAATAGTTATTTATTATACAAGACGATAAAGAAATTGTTTATCCACGAATGAAAAGGTTAAGTTTACGAGTGACGAAGTCACGAGAGGACTTTTTTCACGAATAGATAAATAATCTTTATCGTCGTGTATTTCTTGAATGTAAACAGTAGATAAAATTTACTTTATTTTACTAGACGATAAAAGACTACTTTATACTGAAATTAGTTGATAAAAGCACTCTTTAACATTGAGTACAAAATAAAAAAATTAATGTGTTAAACCAACAGTAAATAAAAGAAATTCGCTAAAAAAATAATTATTTATTAAAAAAAACACTAACAGTTTTTGAAAATAAGTTACAATAAAGCTAACATAACTACTTTTAGTAGTATATAAATTATTGAAATAAGATTTTACGAAATAAGATTCATTTCCTGCTCTAGTCGAATTAAAAAAAAATTCCTTGACGTGCGTAGATCAGATAATGAATATTCCAATGCTCAAAAAATTCGAATTAAGTCAAGGCACAATTAGAAAACTTTGGTTTCTTGCCAAACCCGCTGATATATTATTCAAAAATGGTGCATTCCGGCACACATGTGCTGAAACAAAATAAGAAATGATGCTCCCGGATCGTGTGGAGAGGCCAAGTCGACTCCGGGACAGTACCGGATCTTTGATAGATGTTCCAAGCTCCGGTCGAATACTAAGTGGCCGAAGTTAAGCCTCCTCTCCACCCCACACTAACGTAACTTATTGCATATATCAGTTATATTTCTACTTTCGCTTGTGTGAACACTGATAACATCGCAGATTTTATTTTTATTGCTCTCGAGAGTAAAAAACGAATAAATCTGGTTAAAAATTAATAAAAACGGTGAGGGTACAATATGGTGCACTATTTACACTTCGTTGAACATCATTATGGACAAAATCACCCCAACTTGAGTCTGTAAGTAACAAAATTGATCTTGGCGTTTATCTAACGCCTGAATAATTGCTGCAGATTGCCAACATTTGTTACACTTCTTGGTATTGATTGCCTTTATTTCTCCCAAACCTATTAATAAAAGAAACAAATCTTTTCCTAAAGCGGTAATGGTAATTATTTATCACTCAGCTTAACGATTTTGTTAACTGGAACACCCTGTATAATATACTATATCAATTATATAAAATAATTGACGAGCTGGCCTTGATTTGACATGTGCATTGGTTGTTCTAATAAGTCACATAGACATTTACATACATCGAATACAATGCTTCAAACATTAATTTTTCATCTATTCTATTTTACTTTTATGTAATAGAGATTAACATAATAATTCATTTTTTATTACTCATGCACTCTTACTGTCTAACGTTTTACTAGTAATAGAATAACCTTGATTTTTACGGTTGTAGAAAAAATTACGTATAAAACTTGTGCGCAAAGATACTTGTTTTGCGTTCTGATTTGTTGAGAGACTTGAGGTAGGTCTGGGTGTGACTTATATTTTTTAAAACATTTAGTTTTATATTTTTATTGTAAAAATAGATTTACGCATACAGGGTGTTACTTAGAAGTGATCAAATTGTGCAATTCTTAAGTGCACACATTAATTTTTTTAGGTGTATTTTACTATAGTAAAAATTTCGTTAAACTAGAACTTACAACTGGCAGTCACGTTTTTTTTCACTTTGAACGACTATTCTTTTTTTTTCACTTTCTCACATAATTGAAACAAATTTTCATTTGACATACATCACATAACATTCGTAAAAGTATCACTGATTACTTCCACAATGTTTCGTTCTATTTACACAATTTTGTATTTTTTAAAACAATGTTGGGACAATGACATGGCTGGCTACAAATATTGGGTAATAAAGAATAATTATTGTCGCAGGTGTAAACTATATAATTTTTATTGCAGCAGACAAAAATGTAATTATTTTTCCAAAATGAGTCCCAATTTGAACCGATAATATCGATTAAAAGCTTTAAAAGCATTTTTTTGTACCAAAAATATGAATGGGTGAATGATCACCCATTTTTTTTATGTATTCCTCAAAAACTATATTGGTCCTAGTTTTAGATTCGTGGAACAATTCTATATAAGATAAGAGCAAATTACAATTTTATAGCTTTTGCTCAATTTTGAAGGTGAAAATTTGCTAAAAAATGTAGACTTTCTAAAAGAATTATAAATACTTACAAAAAGTTGGACAAAAATTATATTTGTGATACCTAATTACATTTTGTTTCAATATTTTCTTATTTCACTTTGACAAGTGTAATACAGAGTCAATAATTAGAAAAAAAAATTGAAACATTGTATTTTTAGAGTACTACAGAATACAGCGTGCCTCAGAACTCGCCCCCCATAGAAAAATGCCATGTAGGGTAAGATACCAGGAACATAGAAAAAATGTTAAAAAATTCTATCTATAAAAATTTCGAAGTTGTGAGAATTTAAATTTTGCACTTTGACTCATCAGTATCATTAAATGAACATAAAAAAAATGACCAAAATAAATTTTTGACAGATAGAATTTTTTAAACATTGTTTCCATGTTCCTAGTGCCTATCTTAGTTGAAATTTTTCTCTGGAGCGCGAGTTCTGTATAGTAGATTTACTATACATGATATCGATTTTTACTGAAGTAAATTTATAATTATGGTTAAAAAAGAAACAAAAAATCATAGAACCAACGTAGAAAATTCAGTTGCTAACCCGGTCTTAATTTTTAATTGGCGCAGTTAGTAGAAAAAAACTAAAATTTAAAAAATTAGCCTGCCGACAGTAGAAAAAGTTTTACTTTCTCGGTCTTTTACAATGTTTTTGACTTCATATATAAAACTAATTTTTTGACTTACCTATCAAATTAAAATCTAACTAATTAAAAAAACGTGTTGCAAAAAAAGTGTTTTTAGAGTATCGTAGAATTTCATTTAACAACTTCTTTTATCTTCTACGCTACAAGTAGATTAGTATAATTGATACTGACTTGCACTAAATTAAGTTTAAAATTATGGTTAAAAAAGATACAGAAAAAGTCATAGTAGCAATGTAGAAAATTCGGTTACTAATCATTACAATTGAAGCAATTCAACAGTAGAAAAAGTTTGATTTTCTCGCCCTTTCTCAACATTTTATTAATCAAAAATTTGACGACGTATAAAATTAGTAGTTTTTTCCGCACCCCTCAAATCAAAATCTAACTAAAAAAAAAGAATCGTGTTGTAAAGTCAATGTTTTTAGAGTATCATAGAATTTTATTTAATTTTTTTTTTTAATCTTCTTCAAGTAGATTAGTATAATTGATACCGATTTTTACTGAAGTAGGTGAT